TTACTGCAGCACATTTCAAGGAAATTGATAACAAGCGACAACTATGGGACCGATACAGGCAGAATAAAATGCCAGAAAACTATCAGCTTTACAGAAATCAAAACAACACTCTGAAACAAAAACTATTTGATGCTAGAAAAACATATGAACATAACTTAGCAGCCTCAAAGTCACCTAAGCAGTTGTACAAATACATAAGTAGAGCCTTAAACTCTAAAGTGTCTACAATAACGCTCAAAGATCCAACCAGTCACGAAATTATGGATAACAAAACCATGTCGGAAAAATTTGCATACCAATTTGATAAATCATTCTCTCAACCACAAAACTACACCCCTCCACCACAGCCAGCAAGTATCAGAAACCAGAACTCAATCACCAACATAGTCTTCACTGAAGAGAAGGTAAAAGAGACCCATACGAAAATGAAAAAAGAATCAAGTCCTGGTACAGATGGAATTCCTACAATCTTCCTCCAGAACTGCAGTGAAACAATTAGTTCGTACTTGGCAGAAGTGATGCAAGAGTGTATACATCTGGGAAGGATCCCGGAGCAATGGAAACTGTCAATAGTAACACCGCTATTTAAAAAAGGAGATCGACACAAACCAGAAAATTATCGTCCCATAAGCCTCAACTGTAATCCATTGAAATGCATGGAAAAAATTATTGTGAAAGAATTAACATCATTTTTCACAGAAAACAATTTGATACCTCCATCACAGCATGGATTTCTTCCAAAACGGTCCACTACAACAAACCTAATCGAATGCCTGGATGATTGGACAGAAAACCATGACAACTCCCAACCAACTGACATTATCTATTTGGATTATGAAAAAGCATTCGATAAAGTTCCTCAGAATTATTTGCTTATCAAGCTTGAACACTATGGTGTGCGAGGACAAATACTGTCATTGATAGCAGACTCCCTATACAAAAGACATTATCAAGTGAGAGTGAATGGCGAAATGTCTAAGCAACATCCAGTCAGCAGCGGAGTTATTCAGGGATCAGTAATAGGGCCTTTGCTTTTTACGGCATATCTCTTCGATCTTGTCGACCTGATTGAGACGAAAATGAAAAATTTTGCTGATGATGGTAAAATATATGCAAACCCCTGTCTTAACGCAATTCAGCTCAAGAGAGATCTTCAAAGAATCGAGGAATGGTCCAGTACCTGGGGGATGAAACTAAACGAATCTAAATGCACAGTATTAAGAATTGGTCCAAACAACCCAAACGAACAATACACATTGAATAACACAGTTTTGTCGGTAGTGGATGAGCAAAATGACCTGGGTGTTATCGTGACTGCAAATTTAAAATGGGAAAACCACATTCTGAAAATAGCCAAAAAGACCAACTCGTTCGTCTACCTTGTAAAACAGGCATTCAAAGACCACACAATGGAAATGATTTCAATACTATATAAAAGCTATATTAGGCCAAAACTTGAGTACGCTTACACAGTATGGAACCCATATTACGTAAAAGATATTGAGATCCTGGAAAAAATACAAAGAAGAGTCACGAAGATACCCAATGAACTGAAAAATTTACCATACCCAGAAAGACTGGAAAGACTTCAATTAACAACGCTAAGGGAGCGAAGACATAGAGGAGACCTTATCGAAACGTATAAAATAATTAGTGGACACTATCAGTGCGAAATCAAGAACATCTTTCGTCTCAACCAGAATCCACAGCTTCGAGGACATTCTATGAAAATAGACAAGGAAAGGGTTGCTAAACTCCAAAGGAAGAATTTTCTGACCAATCGTGTGGTATATTCATGGAATGCACTCACAGAGGAAACGGTTACTGCAGCAAACGTTAATATATTTAAAAATCGTTTAGACAAAGAATTAAGACAGAGTGCAGCAAGAATGATCCATTATGGCGCATAATTAAAGGAAAATGTAAACAATAACAAATTTTAAAGAGACAATAGCTTCATCGGTACACCGCTTGCTATTGGATAATTACATTATTACATTATTACATTATTATTATATAAATGACATAACAAGTAGGGCATCTAAAATGTATGGATTTATTGTCAGAAATTGCAAAGAGCTCAATATATTGTGTGTTAAAACTCTGTATTTTTCATATGTGAGGACTATATTAGAATATTGTTCTATAATATGGAGCCCGTGTTATGAGAATCATAAATATAGTATTGAAAAAATTCAAAATAAATTTTTGAGATATTTACACTACAAGGAAACAGGGCGATACGAAATGCATATACCAAAATTAGAAATCATGAAAGCTCATAATATACAAACGCTTGAAGGCAGGAGGAAATTTTCTACAATTATATTTCTTTATAAAATATTAAATAACATGATAAATGCTCCTTATTTGTTGAACCAAATTAAATTTTATGCTCCGACATATAGAACACGAAATCCTTTGAGCTTATATACTGATAATACTCGAACTAATTACTACAACAACAACTCGCCTGTTATTGTAATGTGTAAATTATACAACCAAATGCGCCTACAATTTGATATGTGGAATTTAAGTTCTGTAAGTAGGCTGAAATTAATACTGAATGATATATTTGTACAAATGTAGATTTTAATGTTAAGTTACTCTCTCGATGACTCTTTACTTTATATTTTTGCTTCCACTTAGGTTAGTCTTCTACCCTACTCTGTAACTGGATGTAAATCTGTAGAGTTTGTAATGAATAAATAAATAAATAAATAAATAAATAAATAAATCAAAGAAGTTTATTTGCTTGGCCAAACTATTCGCCCTACAAACCAAACGAGAGATTGACTCATTGACGAAAAGAGATCGTTATTTCTATCTCTATAGCACTTCCGCTGACCAATAGAATTAACAGTAAATTTATCTTGCAAATAGTTACCAGCAAGTTTATCTGAAGATGAATACCGGGCATAAATTAATATATAATAGGAATTACAAGGTAGGGGAGGGGTAAATAAATTAGAAAACCCAAAAATCAGAATTGTAGGTATTTAGTAGAAAATGAATTGAAAACGAGTAGCTATTTTGGAAAAAAAATAATATTTAACGATTTAAAAATTGGCTCAGAAAATCTGGGATAGTACGATCATTTATTTTTTCCGCGGGGTTCAAAAAGAATTAAGAGCAAAGAAAGGAGTCTCGATTTTCATATACAGTATACAGAAAATGGAAATAACATATTTAACATCATGGGAAGCAGTAAACAAAACAATAATAGAACTAAATGTAAGTCTGTATGTTCGAAAGGAAAATAACAATCTTGGAAATACATATATGGAGTGAACGACGATGAACTCGTTAATATAAAGGATTAATTTTATCAACAACTTGGTGACCAAATCATAAAAGAAAAAGTAGGAGCTTCAAGGGAAATGATATTGCTGGGAGACTTTAACGGACGAACAGGAAAAAAAATCAACAACAATGTAGTCGGAAAATTCGGAGATAATCTCGGAGAGAATGTACCGAATAACAATGGAGAAAGGCATATTGCTATATGCCAACAAAACAACCTAAAACTCCTAAATGGTTACTTTCAGCATAAAGAAATATATTAGGTACACGGTACGCATCAAAACATTCTGCCACCCAATCTAGCCATAGCCCGGAATCCTGACCAATCAAATTCGATGTGGCTATTTTAGGTGGTATAATGTTACTACATGCGCTGCATCAGGGGTCAGAACGTCGGAACGATAATGGAACTATTTAAAGGGTCAGAATGTTATTGCATGGGCTAGAATCAGGGTCAAAATGTTGCTGGCGATAGAGAAATGTTTGATGTTAAAAAATCTATAAGTGTCTTTTGTACCTGTTATACCTACAATTCGGAAATTTAGATTTTATTTGTGTTCTCCATGGATTTTTTGCATAAATATATTGATTAAATTGTTAGTTTTTTGATTGAAACGGAGGAATTAGGAAATATATCCATTTTGGATATAGGGGGTTAATAAATTAGATTTAGCAAATATCAATAATTAAAAAATTTTATGCAACTTTATAATCCAACTAAATAGTTGAGGTTGAGGTTAACTTTTCAGTCTTTAATCGTTTCGGATAACAAGTTTGCATAATAAGTGTTTTCACTCATACTAGAATAAATAAACTTTGTGGGTAGTTTTATCGCATCCATCTTCATCATGAATAAATTTTAAATAAAATGTCTTCGCATCGCATAAATTTTCAACAGAGCAATGAGCATGAAATTAACAAAATATGCAGCACTTCTAACGGACAAGTGCAACAGGCCGTCCCAACATTCTGACCCTTGATCTAGCCCATGTAGTAACATTATGCCGCTCGAAATAGCCACATCGAATTTGATTGGTTGGATTTTCGGGATATGGCTAAATTGGGTGGCAGAATGTTTGAATGCACACGGTACACATGGAAAAAATAAAACTACATAGACAACAAAAATCGATTATGGACTACACTACGCAAAAGAGAAAGGAAAGGAAAAACAAAAAGACAATATTGTGCCTGAGAAATACAACCTAAAATCTCTAGAAGAGCAAAGCGTAAAGGGGTTGTACATACATGAAAAGATTAGATTAAAAATTACAGAGTAGTATGAACTTCCAAAACCTTGAAATGCATTACCACCATATCAGAGAGAGTAGGATTTTTTTCACAATGCAGCATTTGAAGCCGTAGGTAAATACGAAAAAAATTAAAGAAAACAAAAACCTTAATAGTGGGATCAAGAAATTGAAAATTATACTGACATCATAAGAAAAAAACTAATGAAAGAAAGTGTACCGTGCCTTGGACCAGTTTTACAATATTTCATCAATACAATATCATTAGAAATTCCAGAAGTGCAAAAATTATCATGTATAACTCTTGTGCCTTAAGTGAAAATAACAACAAAATAAATTTGAAATGCGACCAATAAATGTAATATGGAATAATGAAAAACATTTAGAAATAGCAGCTTACAATCAAATTGCTAAATAAACTCATTCATTATTACATTATTTTTGTAGTTTGATATAAAAGATGATAAGTTGGAAGAAATTGACTATGGAATAGCACAATTCAACCATGCTGTGGTTTTATTTCATCAGAAACAGTACACTAATTCGCAAAATATAATGGATATGGTTTATAAATATATCGAACCAATGGGTAAGTATTTACTAGAACTAACCAATCCTAAACATTTAGTTTAGTTCGTTTTTTGTAAACTTACATTTGCAAGATTTAAATTGTCAAAGTTTCATTTTCAAGACCTAAGAGCCTATACTTTTGAGCACTAATAAGGTCTGCTAAATTTATTTGAATAATTTTCTAGAGGAAAGTTTAGTCAAACAAGTGAGCCTGTTGGCCATCGAACTGCAGCTGTGCTTTAGACGACCAGAAAGAGCGCTGCAACTAATCGGTTACCTCGAAAATAATTTAATGTATGGCGGTAGTATATCATTGAAAAAACTTGATGAAAAAGAGAAAAAGGTTGTTATAAAATAATAATAATAATGAAAATGTTAAAATAATTGGGCTCATTTTGTAGTTGCCTTCACCAAAACCCAAATCGATTTCTGAAGATTTTCAAAAAAAACTGTCCCAGTATAAAGTTAGATGCCATTTACTGAACCGCTCTTTAACTGCTGCCTCTAAGATGCTTTCAGATATTTTTATAGATAAAACAGTAAGTAAATGCCTACAGTTATTTTTTTTGAGTAGGTTCAGGTGATACTTTTTTTTCCAGAATCTTGAACTAGTATTTCTGGCAGCCAACTTGGAGTACCTTAAGGGCAATTTGAATGAATCATTTAAAATTTTATTATCAATACCAGAAGACAGTTTGGATAATTACCGGTAAGTTTTTTATCATCAACATAAGAAAAAGTTCTTAAATTCATTTTTCTGTCTAGTTGGAAAATTCAAATCCTAAACCTTCTATTCATGTTTCAGTGAATATGGAGAATCTTTCAAAGTAATGTTGAACAATAATATGGGAATTCTGCACCATGCCCTGGGCAAGCATCATTTGGCTTGTTTCTACTTTCAGACGGCCCTTAAAGAGGACATAAGAATATACAAAGCTATGAAAAGGCAAGGAAGAAGTGAGTAAAAACAAAAAACTTGTCATTGCTACTATAAGAATTTTATTCCAGATGACAATCTCCTATATACATTAGGAGGCTCAAAATATCACGAAATTATGTACAATTTAGGTATCTCTCTGTTGTATGCAGGCAAAGCAGAAACAGCTTTCGATTGTATGATTGTCTGCCTCAGGCGCTATCATAGAAATTCACGATTGTGGCTCAGGATTGCCGAATGTTGTATTGCAGTGCACAAAAAGGTTAGATTCAGTGTTTTGTTTTTGAGCTTAAATAATTTGATTTTATATACACTTAGAGCAACGAAGAGGATTTTGATTTCCAAAAGAAACAGAATGAACTTATTTCGGAAGTGATTGGGAACGGAGACTTGCGAAAAATCATTCTGACTAGTAATTTGTCTAAAGACAAAAAGTATAAGTGAGCATTATTTTCAGTGTATAAATTTTTTCCTTATCAGACTACCAAAACTAGTGCAGTAAAGTGAAATTTTCATTTTAAGGTCTAAGAAAATACCAATTTCTATGTTGTTATTTTTAGTACCGAAAGTCAATCTTCCGCCATACCAGTGCCGTCTCTGGAATTTGCTGTTCTCTGTTTGCGTAACGCCTTTTTGTTGATTCCGGACGTCGACGCTGGTGACACTCTCGAGGAGCCGCTGTTTGTAATCCCAGGCACGACGCCAGCGCCGCCCCCGAGTCACAGTTTGTCGCCGTCCAGTCCTCCCGGTTCCCACGGGATACAGGTAAAATATTTTTGATTTTTGATGGGAATATTGTTGCGATTTTTCTCCAACGATTTTTTTAAATCTTAATTACTATTTTATATCGTGGGTCAGCTCCAAAATTCAGTTTTTAACCCTTGGGCTGTTTTGGAGTTAGTTTTTTTTTTTTTAATCTCGGAATTGAGCATTACTTTTGTGTAACCTGAAATCTAACCTAAAATGTCCAACATATGCTCCAACTGTAACCAAATTTGTGTTTTTAAGGAGCCAAAAAACTCAAATGACATTTTTGGCTATCCTTGTGATTTGTGCAAGAATACTTTGTGTAGGAAATGTTCAGGAATCAGCACCACCGAGCTTCGGACCATAGTTATGAGCAGTCGTGTAATGCCATACATATGTAAGTTGTGCCTTCCAAAACTGCAAGATACACTACAATTGGTCACCCGAGTCACAGCTCTTGAAACCGACTTTGCTGAAATTAAAACTAATTCTCAAAAGGTGCTTGATCTGGCTGATTTAATTCAAGGTTTCTCGGAGGAGATGAAAAGTATAAAGACTAGCTTTTCATCATGTCTTGATGACATTTAATCACTGGTAAGGGAAGAGATAGACGGCTTGAAAAGAACATCAGCTGAAACTCGAACAAATACCCAGATGGGCACAACAGAAATTAAATGGAGCAGTGTTGAATCAGAAGAAATGATGATTGATTTAACTGAGCGACAAAAAAGGGAATGTAATATTATGGTTATGAATGTGAAAGAACCACAAAGCATTACATCAGATGCAAGAAGACTTGAACACCGCAAAAAATCTGCTTAAAGATTTTAATGTGGACATTTCAGATTTAAGAGTTTTTAGGGTGGGTAAAGTTGCCCCAAATAAAAACCGTCTAATGAAGATAATCCTAAAGAGTCGTCAGGATGCAATTGCAGTCTTGAGAAATAGAGTGAATGTACCTCAAGGTGTTAAAATATTCTCCGACCAAACTAAAAAACAAAGAGATTACTACTTAAACATAAAGAGTCAACTTGAGGAAAGAATAGCTGGCGGTGACACAACTAAAACAATAAGGTTTATTAACAATGTGCCAACCATTGTAAATAAAAACCAAGCTGGTCGAAAAAACTAATAACATACCCTAATATTCTGCTAAATATTGACCTAATTTATGGGAATATTGGACGCATGATGGCTCATATTACAGATATTAAAGTGAAAATTCAGTGCTACAATCCATTTATAATGTTGTTTAGTGAAACTTGCACAACTAAAGATATCACAGACAGGGAGATTTTCCTACAAGATTATAACTTGGTGAGATGCGATTCTACATCTAGACACACAGGCGAAGTATTAATCTATGTGAGGCGAGACATTATGTTTAGGACACACAAAATATTTATTCTGGAATCTAATTATTGGTGTAAGGTAATTTTGGTGAATCTTCATGGGGTAAAAATGAGAGTTGGAGTGTTATATCACTCTCCCAATGCCAGTCATTCGGTTTTTATTGAAAACTTTGAAAAAATCTGTGAGGAAATCTTTTGTGATAATAAGAAGTGTGTATTGGTAGGTGACTTTAATTTGAATCTTTTTAAGGGTGATGATTTCTATGTCAAAAAGTTTATCAATGTTTTTCAGCAAATTGGAGTGACACAGAGTGTAGCAGATTTTACAAGATGTACCGATTCTTCATCCACATTAATAGATTATGTTTTATCAAATTTTAATGTGGTGTCCAAAGTCCACCATATTCCCAAAATATCAGACCACTCACTAATTTCTGTAAATGTAAATAATAAAAAAATTGATAATCTGAATAAGGTTGAGGTTAAATACAGAAATTTAAGCTCTGAAAATATGGAAAAAGTCTGCTATGACCTGTTGTCTTGTTCTTTTTTGTTAAGTTGTGTAAATGTAGATTGCATTTTTGAGAATATTATTTTTAATTGTGAAACTGTAGTTAATAATGTTGCACCTATTAGATCCTTTTGTAGAAAACGGGAAAGTGTGCCATGGTATGATCATGAAGTTGCCATTAGGAGTTTTGAAAAGGATAAAGCCTATAAACTTTTTCTCAACAATAAGAGTGAGAAAAGTATCGCATTTTCAGAAACCAATATGTAGCTACTCGATGCTAAAGAGAAACAAAATTGATTTGAATAAGAAGAATCCTACTTTCATGTGGAAAACTCTTAAACTCTTGGTCAACACTGGTTGTACTGAGTACTGCTTTAGTAATGGCATTCGATTTGAAATAAACGGACATGTTGTTATGTACAGGGAGTCAGATCAAATTGCAGACCAATTTAACAAATATTTTATTGAAAGTATCAACATGATTGTATCCAGTATACCAACTGGCCTGCAGTGGAGTAATTCTTATAATGTAACGTCTGTTTTTGATCACTTCAAAAATATTGATTTTTCTGAGCTGACTAAAATTATTATAGAATTAAAAAACAAAAAGGGAAGTGAAATTATGAATTGTACATTTATCAAGCAAGCCTATGGAGTCATTGGTCATGCCTTGCTTCATTTGGTGAATTGTTCTCTTTCCTCTGGTAAATTTCCCAGACAGCTTAAAACTAGCACTATAGTACCAGTCCAGAAAATTGCTAACTCTAATAAATCATGGGAGTTTCGGCCAATCAATACCTTGCCTGGACTTGAAAAAGTTCTGGAAACTATTGTTTATAAACAATTGATTGATTATCTAGAAAAAAATGACTTGTTAATGTCTTACCAGTCTGGTTTTAGGTCTCACCATTCATGTGAGTCAGCAGTTCAACTGACAATTACGAAATGGAAAAAAAGTTTGGATCAGGGTGAATATGTTGTGGTTGCTTTCTTGGATTTGAAGCGAGCTTTCGAGACCATAGATCGAAATTTACTGTTACAAAAATTACTGTTTTTGTTAATTTTGTCTTTTAAAAAAAATGTTGTTTATATTAGGGTTTCCTATTGAAATTGAATAAATTGATTGATTGATTGATTTTTGTCAAAATTACATCGATTACACTCCTCCTGAAATCAGAAATCTCTCATATGAAGAAAGACTACTGAGATACAACATAACAACCCTAAAAGCTAGACGAAGAAGAAAGGACTTGATTGAGACGTACAAAATCTTAATCACCGTTATTCTCCAGATTTGTAACTGGACATTTTCAGTCTAATTACCAACCAACAACTTCGAGGCCATACTAAGAAGCTGGATAAGGAGAGATGCTCGAAGCTGATCAAGAAGAATTTTCTGACGAATAGGGTTGTCTATTAGTGGAAAGTGGAACGTCCTTCAGGAAAGCACAGGCAGTGTTCCTTTAAAGAACGCATTCAAAAACAGACTTGATTGGGACCTGGAGAGAACTAGACTGAATTTTGTCAGTCATCATAACAGTAAAAACAAGGATATAACAATACAGCAGTAGTCTCATCGGCGTTGCCGCTTACTGCTGCTCAAACCTATAAGTAATAATAATAATAATTATTGATACAAATTACTGTAAAAAATGTATTTACTATTTATTTCAAACCTTTATTTTTTAGTTAAAACCTTATTTAAATTATTTTATTTTAATTTTCAGACACTCAAAAACAGTATTCTAGTGGCCTCAGCTTATGTATATTTGTGTTTGGGTGACTACATAACAGCCCTGAGATATTCCAAGGAATTATTGGCTCAGCAAAAAGTGTGCGGTGCTCATAAGTAAGTCAAGATATATCAAAATAAAATTGCTCCCAAAGTTTTGATTTTTTTTATAGACTTTTAGCCCACTTATACGCCGCAGAATGTTTGATATCGTCAGACAACTTCACGGAGGCCATGGAGCATCTAGATCCGACAAAAGTTGAATATTTATCATTCAATATTCCACCATCTTCAGCGGCGGATTTGAAAACGAATCCTCCGCCGAGTAAGTTTGTATTTGTCCAACTTATGATGATTTTAGTAAATTTCACTTGTACTTTCAATTTCTGCTGTGGGATAGTATAAATATAAATTACACATTTTTTCCTAGTCTACTTTTTTATAAGTCTTTAGGCCCATAACCTGATAGCCTAACTTCGTTAACAATCTTGCCAACTCATCAGAAATATCTGTGATTACCAGATACTCGCTATACTTGTGACTAATAATAATTATTAATATTTATAATAAAATAAATTTGATATTTTTCAAGAATGGTTCCCAAACAACGTCGAAAACGCTCACGTAATATTGCGATACAACTTGGCGGTCGCCAAAGCGATTCGCGGACAATTGGTTCAAGCGGGCGAATTGCTGAAACAAATCTGGCAACAGCGTACGGCCACGTGTCAGGTGCCTGCTCACATTATAATGCTGGTTATCTACATTGAGCTGAAACTGGGTGAGTACTGCCTTTACGAAATAAATAATGATAGATTCGCAGTGATGCCAAATCAAAAAATTTTTCCAGGGCACGCTGAAATTGCAAAAAATCTTTTGAGACAACACTCTTCCCGGCATCTAGTATCCAGATAAGGAATTCAAAAATTTGTTTTTGTTTTGTATGAAATATTATTATTTTTCTATTACATCATATTACTTTTTTTGTACTATGTATTTATTGACTTCTAGTTTGTTTGACAAGAATTTGTATTTATTTTTTTAGAAACATAATAACCTGTTTATACATTTTGTAATAAAATTTAATGACTAACAAATGTGTAAATAATTTTTTTGTTCCCTTAATTGAAATCATTGATGTCCTTTAACATTTTTATATTCCTAGTTACTTCCCATTTCACAAAAGTGGAAAATAGGACGATTTTACATAAAAAACAAATTTTCTCCATCACCCAGTAAAACCTTTATCTTGACGATGAAACCTACAAAAGTGACGGTAAACATTTAAGTCCAGCAATCGGCTATGATTGGTAAGAAAATATTAAGGTACACTTTCAGTAGTATTGTGTTGTATTAAATCTAAATTGAATCGAAAATATAACTTACCATTTTTGCATTAATAATAAATAAATAAATTAAGCAGCTTCTGGGTGCTGCTGTTGCTGATATGTCAACGCCCAATAGTAACCTTTCAACTTCTGAAGCTGCTCATGGGTTCCCATCTGAAAATAATTATAAATATAGCAACCTCGCCTATGTAATATAAGACAATTCATTTACTTCAACTATCTTGCCTTGATTCAGCACAAGAATCAAGTCGGCATTGCGTACAGTCGACAATCTATGGGCAATCACAATAACTGTCCGGCCTTTCCTCGCATTGTCCAAAGCCGATTGGACGATTTTTTCCGACTCGGCGTCAAGGGCGCTGGTCGCCTCGTCCAGTAACAAAATCTTGGGGTCTTTCAGCAGCGCCCTGGCGATGGCAATTCGTTGTTTTTGGCCGCCGGATAAGGTGGCGCCACGTTCGCCCACCATTGTTTCGTATCCTCGAGGGAAGTTTGAAATGAATTCGTCAGCGTTTGCCATTTGGGCTGCTTTTTTAACCTGAGAGAAAATAGGTGAATTTGGCAATTGTTCAGTGATACCTGGATGTTCAATTTTATTGGTTGCAACATCTTCAAATAATGAACTTGAAGAAAAGCAAGTAGCTATGTTTTTAATTGTGATTGGTCCAGAAACAGTGAAACTATTTGAATATATTCAAAAAAACAGAATTAAAAAAGTTATTGAACTATTGAAAAATATTGTGGACCTATAAAATAGTATATTACCACTCCATACCTACAACAGATTAAATTTTTTAAAAAAATCGTATTGTTCCGAAATTGTCATGGCTATTGAGGTCTCTGATAAGGTCAGGATGCTAAACCTGACTGCATATTCTAAGATTGGCCTGCTGTATATGTTGTACAGTTTTGTAAATGCTTCTTGGGGCGTGTTAGGAAGAACTTCTTTGGGAGAAATAACTTGCTGTTGGTTTTTTTTGCATATTGTTGTTACATGTGCTGACTAGATCAAGTCTTTGGTTATCAGAACTCCAAGGTCATTGTGTTGCTGAGCACTGACCAGTACTGACCCATTGTTGGTGTATTCATTTTCTCGGTAATTTTTCTCAAGATGAAGTACCACACATTTTTCACATTAGGGGTAGTTGCCAGTCATCGCACCACTTCCCGATGGGTTAAATCATTTTGGAGCAAGTCAGAATTGACATTTTCAATTAAAAGAGATGGACGATAAAGTATGAAAACATTCAGATTCCCGCCAACATTTGCTTGCTCGTCAATGTCAAGTGTATAGGGTGTTTAGCAATCCCCTGGTTTTTATTCTAATCGGTGACTCCACCGATGAGTTAGGTAGATATCTTTGTTCAGTGAATGGAAAATGACAATGACCGACATAGAATGGTGAAATTTGAAATTGGAAAGAAAATGTGGGAAGCAAAAAGCTTCCGCAAACTAAACTTGGACGTGGATATCTTTGTATACTTGATGGGTCGTGGATTTCCCTTACTTTTGCGAGTATCAGTTCTGATTTTGTGTATCCAAATTTTGACAAATGTAGGATTTGATGAAAACTTATGGAAAGACACGTCCGCCGGTGAATAGGAATTATTTTCACGAAAAGGCACACTACACACAATCACCATTGTTAGGAAAAAACCGAGGAAATAATAGTTTCCAGTCTCACACGTATAAAACTCTTGTCAACAAACCACTGTCAATCATTGTTTTCATACTCTTTTGGCGTCTGACAGTCTGACGCCAGAGAGAGAGGCTTCTAAATTGAAAAGGTCAATTGTTGGCCTGACCATAAGTTTTTATGTCGTCGGTGAACGCTGCACATGTTGATATTATTAGGTCAAGTAGATAGTGTAAGTTACAAACAACAGAAGTGCAAGTACTAAGCCTTGGGGTACACCACTTTGTACTGGATAGTGTTCAGAGTATGAGTCGCAAACTCTGACTTTGTACTCCCTATTTGTAAGATAGTGGTTGGTCCAAAGCAGTAAATCATCCCTTACACCAAAATGAGTTTTAGCAGAAGCCTCTGACTTGGGACTCGGTCGAATGTTTTAGCAAAATCCAAGTACACTTGGTCGAATGGCCAATCATAAAACTTGTATTTACAGGCAATAGGTATTTTTCAAATTCTCCTAATGTGAATCTGACTTAACAACAAAAAATTTTTTTTGGAAAAACTTACGCTAGACCATTTTTGTCAATGTCGAATGTCAAATGTATCTGTGGCGGAATTTTGTTTGATTTAAAGCTGACACTGACCTGACTCTTTTTGTCATTTTTGAGGTGATAAAAAAGGTCGATTTACACAATACAAATAATAGGAAAATGCATGTACCATCGTCACCAAAAGTATCTGGGACACAAATAATGCATAATAATCTCCTGGACTAATTCTACTGTCATTCATTTCAATGCATTTGATTTATAGTTTGACAAATATTTGACAATAAAATTCATATAATAGGACAAGAGCTATGTGAAGCTGTCCCAGTTACTTTTGGTGACGATGGTAAATACCTATGGTTTATTTTTTTCCAAGATAGATTTTGGCATTGTCAACTTTGAAACATAAACAATGCCGCTAATGCCGCTTATTGGTCGCTATTGTAAAACTGATGTCAACCTGCAGGAACACCTCATTTTGCGACCAGTCAGGGTCAAGCTATGAGATATTCCGTCTAGACCTGGAAAGATGGCAACCTTCAGGGCTTTTATCTTCTTAAGGATGTCTTGTGCAGGACCATATTTAAATCTTATACTGACGGCTTATAATATTTTCATATTGGATTCTGTTTGCCTAATGCATTGTATTGAGATTTTCAGCATAGCTTTATTGTGATTAGCCATTTGATTTTTCAGTTCTTCAATTATTAGGTCCTTGACATTCATATATTTTCGTACTTGTATAAGTTCGTTTCTTAAAACATCGCATACCATTCTATCCAATAATTCTTCTTTTTCCTTTTCTAAGTGAGAATTTTCAATGATAAATTTATTTAACTTATCCTTCAACGAGTCGATCGTCTTTTTTTTTTGTCTATGGTATTAATACCTCGTGGTCTTCTGGTGCGTTTTGCAGCTTGTTTGACGTCTGCAATTGTTTTAAATTTCCTCTACTACATGAAGGTGGTGACAATAATTAACCATCAAACTTTCGCCGTATCTTTCTCTTGTCAACGTTGTCTAAGGTCATAGAAAAGTAGGTTTTGTATTTTTTTGCCAGACAGTTTCCCGGATTCAATGGGAACCCATGAGGCTGTTTTTAATCTTCCAAATACAGTCTATGAATCAGAAGCAGGCGACAGCGGCGGTTCAGCTCCTACCTTGCTGGAGATTGTCAATCGGTTGTGGCTTCTGGAAAGCAGTCTTCAAGTATGCTAATTGGTTTTGGAGTGAGTCAGGGTTCTGTTGTTTCTATCTGACGACCTGGCCCGTGTTGAGATATCTGGAGAGTTTACAATTTCTGTGGACGACACTTCAATAGTTTAGGCATGGTTTTAATGGTGATGCCTTGATGTCATTTCCCACGACTTGCAGTTGATAAAGTGATGGTGTGACGCTACAGGCTTGTTTTAAATTTCGAGAAAACCGCCATCACTATGTTTGGTTTCTGGTGTAACGTGGATGGCCTGGTATTGGACAGTTCCTTGGTCGGGGTGATTTCGACCACTAAGTTTTCTGGGCGTTTAGGTAGATGGGGACCTTCGTTTCGAAGACCCCATCATGAGGTTGATCAGAAGGCTTTCATCGGGCTGTGAGGGCCGTGTTGGGAGCTGAAATGGCGCGGAAGGTTTACCTTATTTAAGTCCCACGTCCGATATGGAATTCCATTCTAAGGCCTCAGTAGCAATGTGCTATTTGTCTTGCAGAAAAAGGCTGTACGTTTTATCGCAGGCATCGGGATGAAAGACTCATGCAGGCCCTATCTCTTTTCACAGAGAATTTTAACTCTAACCTCCCTTTGTGTGCTTGAGACCGCGACATTGATGTTCAAGAATCGTGTAGCCATCGTGGGACTTCCACCATAGGGAGAAACGCACCAGGCTTCCGACTTGCCAATTCCTACTTGTCAACTGACTAAGCACTCTATGATCTTTGAACGCAGAAAGATTTTTAATCACTTGCCCGCCCCTCTTCGAAAGACATCACCTATTTAATTGTTCAAACGATCTTTAAAGAATTTACTGATTAGTAATTAAGGCCTACTACGATCTGGGTGAGTTTTACGCGGATGCATTGTGACTTGCCTATCCAACTCGACTTGACTGTTTGGCCACAAGTTTGTACAGAAAAATCAGATTTTCCCGGTTGTTGCGTTCTCAGAAACCTTCCAAAGTTAAATCAAATAATAAGAAGAATAAGATCTTTGTTCTTGTAGGTATCTTTTTCTAAAATTTTTACGGCCAATTTCATAATCAACTTAAAGTTTAAATTTAAAGCTCCATTTGAAGTTGAAAAATCCTATCCTAAAAGTCTATTTAGATAAAGTAACTTTTAATTCTCTATTATGAAATTGGCCGTTAGAGAAAAAAATTGTTTAAATTTTTACCTCTTCATTTGTAGCATCAGGTTTGCCATATCGAATATTCTCCAAAATTGTAGTAGCGAATAAAATCGGTTCCTGACTGATTAGTCCTAAAACTTTCCTTCTGAGCCAAGTGGGATCTAACGTTTTCAAATTGTGCCCATCTATTGTAACCGTGCCACTGTCGACGTCATAAAATCTATAATAATTAAACACAGAAATATAGAAAACAATAAATAATATTTGAAATATCTTTTTTTATGCAAAAAAAAAAGAAAATTAATGGAATAAGCAGAGGCTTTTATAATATGTATACCAGAAATAATTATTATAGCAACTACCTTTCTAGTAAAGCAACTATAGTTGATTTACCATTTCCCGAAGCACCAACAATGGCAATAGTTTTCCCCGAAGGCACTGACAAATTGAAGTTTTCCAATATAACCTTATAAAAAAAAAACTATTAAACTCTATCACAAAATAATTACCACAATCCATTACCTGTCGTTTCCTAGTGGGATAAGCAAAAGTAACATTTTTGAACTGAATTTCCCCTTTAAGCAGAGCTTCGGCAATGGTTTCGCCGCCCGTCAGTGTCATGCTGGGTTCCATATTAATATACTAAAATTAAATTATAAACAAAAATTTTTCGAATGGAAATTTGAACTCACTTCGAACACTCTGCCTCCTGCGGCAAGTCCTTTGATGACGCTGCCGAAAAGTAGCGATACTTGAGCCAGAGATCGTTGAATCGTTTGAGCCGCCATCAAAAATGACATTACTTCGCCGGCTGAAAGCTGATTTGTGGAAAGTAGGTAACCGCCCATGTATAAAGTCATTAGGACTGTTCTGGAATGGACAATAATTATTGTATAAATTGATTTTCTCTTAGTCTTATTACATAAAACAAACAAATTCTCGTTGAAATTTCATCAAAAACTGTCCAGTAATAATACATTTAATGCCTTATAGAAAAAAAACAATAATTGAGATTTTCACTTTATTTACGAACAAAACTTTTGTTACATTATGTTTTGATATCTACCCCTTTTGGATTTTTATTTGCAAATCTTCAAACTACAATATCTTGGTTACCAAAAGCGGTACTGGTACAAAATTTTCAGGAATTGTAGCTCTTAATAAGGACTTTAAAATAGTATCGAGCTGAAATCGTTAGCGTTCGCAGTTTTTGAGAAAATCGAGTTTGAAGTTTTGGACAAAATATTGACTAAATTTGAAACTTTTTGATGAATTGCTTGGTACTCACCCGTTTAAAAACAAATTGGTTCCAGCCTGGAACAAACCAATACCGAATCCCAAACTTTCATTCAACTCCATGCCTTTTTCAGCCTCTTTCACAAACATTTCCCTTTCTTGGTCTTCCATTGCAAACGCTCGCACCGTTCGAATATTACTTATTGCCTCGTCAGCAATTGCTGTTGTTTTTTCAGTCTTATAACAAAATCAATCATTTTTGGAGATGAATAATTAGGTACGAAAAATATAAGTTATATGTAAGACTTTTAACTCACCTACCTGTGCTTGAGCTTTCCTGGAAGTCAATCGTAAAATTGAACCAAATATGGTACCAACACCAATTACAGAAGGTATGCACAATAAAGAAACGACCGTCATGTAAGGTGATATTAAGAATAAAGACACCGAACAGCCGATAATTTGAGTGGCGGCCCTCAAACCACCTGAAACTGTTTGTTTAAAGCTACTTTTGAAGTCTTGTATGTCCGCTGTTAGTCTAAAACAATTTTTCTGCTGATAGTTATTTAAATTTTGAAACAAAATTACCTCGTAACAATTTCACCAGTCCTTTGAGCATCAAAAAATGCAATGTCTTGTTGCAAAATTGAACTAAACAGTTCCGATTTCATTTTATAAGCAATGTTTTCGCCCAAATTACTCAGCATTGAAATGTAGAAAAATGTACAAACACTCTAAAAAAAAAATTATGCAACAAATTTTTCAAATATTAGTGAGTGGATTACCTGAGCTACATACATGGCGACCAATTTTAGGGCTGGTGTTTTTACTTCCGAAATAAATTGCTGACTGTCGTGTTGACTGCTGAATTTCGCCAAAACGTTGATGACGCCACCCATGACTTGAGGAATTTGGATATTTAATAATGCTACGGCTAAAGCTCCCTGAAAATTGATTGGTTTATAAAATTTTGGTAATTGAGTTGAATTATTATCAAGATTTTTGAAACAAGATTATCCTATTTATTTATTTATTTTTTTGTATTTGAAAGAATGTTGACTTTATTCAAAATACATAATTATTACATAAAGTAAAAGGAGATTTTTCTAGTTTAGGGAAAATTTTTATTTATCAGTTTAAACAATAATAAATAGTATTTCTCTTTTCTTTTTGTCTAATTTTTTTGTTCATTCCAGGCTCTTGGATTTTCTCAAGTTTTTTCTCTATAAGTAAATAAAAAAAAGGAATTTTTAATTTTTCGATTTTTTTGGGAATCACATAGTAATCAATCAGGAATACATAGAAATCACTTGGAAGTTCCTGGGAATAACCTAGGAATCGCTAGGAATCTCTTAGGACTTCATGGGAATAACATAGAAATCCATTGGCAAATCGCTGAGATTCATGTGGTAATCGCTGGGAATGATTATCTCTTATCTCATTCTAACCCAGAAATCACTGAATTTGATATCCCAACGAGTTTTCCGCACTAATAACTGAACCCAATACTACGAAGAGAAGAACGAGATGAAGATTAGGTCTGTTCTCAGAGAAATCACAAACCAGTCAGAGCGTTTTTGATTGATGCAAATCCCTAACAATCAGTTTTCTGACTATTTGCAACCAATGAAATTCGCTCTGACTGGTTTGCGATCTCTGCAAGAACAGAGCTGAATTAGGACAATGTAGAGCATAAAAATGAAAACATGAATCTTGAAATATCTCTCGAATCCTACTTGCCAAAAGAAGACACAGAATTTCTTCACACATCAGAGTTTAGCAATTGTGATTCGCTAGAATTTAGAGATTATTCAGGGTTCAACTTTAATTTGGTACTTTTCATGACAGCTCTAGAAACCTTAAAAATCATAAAAGATCTAAAAAATAAAAAATCTACCGGATATGATGAGATCCCTGTTAGCATTATAAAAGCTTGCGCAAATTCACTTGCAGAGCCATTAACATACCTGATAAATCTATTGATGCAAAATGGCATCTTTCCTAACCAATCTTAAAATTGCACTGCTAAAACTAATCTACAAAAAGGGTACTCTAACTGATCTAAAAAACTACAGACCAATTTCCTTGTTATCCAACTTTAGTAAAATCTTTGAAAGATTAATTTATATAAGGTTATTAAACTTCTTAGAAGAAAATGTCTTGTTGAGTGAAAAACAGAATGGTTTTCGAAGGAAAAGATCCACTATAAGAGCTATCTACACAGCACTAAATCGAATTTTGGAATCACAAAACAAGAACAATGTCACTATAGCTGTCTGTCTGGACCTCTCAAAGGCTTTCAACAGTGTAAACCACGGCCTGCTCTGTCGAAAGCTTGAGAGGATCGGAGTACGAGACACACCGCTGAAACTGTTCGAGTCATATTTGAATTATAGAAAACTTGGCAGAAAATAGCCTAGGGGAGGTAAAAAAATCAAACTTTGCCTACATAAAAAGGGGTGTATCCCAGGGGTCAATACTGGGCCCACTGCTTTACATAATATATACAAATGATGTTGCAAATGTACTAGAAAATGAGGTGGTACTCTTTGCTGACGATACTTCTGTGCTCTGTTGTAACAAAACCGAAAACGAATGTGTCATAAATGTCCGGGAATCACTTGAAGGTCTTAATGTTTTCAAAAACACAAATTATAAACTTCAATCTAAAACCTAAAGAAATAATGATTGACTACAATGACACTACAATTGCTACAAAGAAAAATGTTACCTTTCTCGGAGTGGTGCTGGATGAGGAGGCTGGACTGGCGTTCACATATTGACCAGCTTGCAACAAGCATGAGTAAATACTGTTACGCCCTAAGGGTTCTTAGAGACTCAGCAGGCTGCTCAGCAGCGCTAACAGCTTGCCAAGCTTACATCCAATCAAAGGTGAGATATGGTGTCATTTTTTGGTTTAGTGTCTCGGAGTCGCAAAGAATTCTGAAGCTTCAGAAAAGGTGCTTAAGGACAATTTATCAAAGAAAAAGTACGCTCAGTACTCATACATTGCAAAGAACGTTAAGCATAGCATTCTGAGGGTCTGGAATGCTCTTCCCATTTCATTTCGAAGGCAACCGTCACAGAATATCAAAAGAGAAATTAAAACATTCCTAAACTACAAAAGCCGAGACAAAAGCTCACACATCCACAAATTGACAACTTGGTAAAGTAAAATTTCTTAATATCAAAACACACAAGCAATCATTATCAAACTAACACAGACAAATGGCACAGATGGGGACGCACACCTGGTCCTTTCTGTGCAGGCTCTCGAGGGCTCAGGACAACTGGAAATTGCAAGAGCAATATTTGATTTATGCGTTCCTAATTGTATTATGAAAATTTTAAAGATTTTTGTCACTATTTATATTTTTATATTTTATATTTTGTGTTTGTATGTTTGACATTATTATTACTATATGTAATAGCGAGTGTAATAGTATAGGTATGTAATAATATTTGTTATTTATGACATGATCAACACTCTAGAGGTAAAAATGTAGAAAACTTGTGATACGCAGTATACTGTGAATTGTATTTGTCTTTTTTACATGATCGAATAAAGAATCTATCTATTTATAGAAGCAGGGACGTTTGTCGATCGAGTATTAAGAGCTATGGGAATATCCCTGAGAAAGACACACAAAAAAATCTCTAGAATCCAAGGCAATAAGAACTTGAAGAGAGAAAGAGGAGACTAGAATAAATACTAGGCAGTGCGAGAAGCAGAGACAATAGCACATCTGAATCAAAAATTAGTTTGTCAAGTGAAACTCTAACTAAAGATGTCTCTGATCCAGATGAACAAAATATTGAAATCAAAAAAATATCCATTATTTCAGATCAATATTATGCAGTGTAGACACACAATGGTATCTAGGATTCAACAACTATTTATACCTAGGTACAACAAAATTGGTCTGGGACTGAACAACTATGAAAATACAGCAGTTGTGCAAATACAGAAGTTGTCAATTTTTCAGTGGAAATGTGTTTTTATATGAAAAAAAACTGTTTATTTTGATCATATCAATGCAAAGCTTAACAATTAGACATCGTTTTTGTAATAAAATCAGCTGGAAATTGGATAATTGTAGGAAATCATCAAGAAAATCAGGTAATCAATTGGGAATGACATAGGAATCCCCAGGAAAAATGAAAATCACCTGATAATCATACAAAAATATCTGAAAATCATTGGCAATCAGTCGCGATTCTTGGGATGCGAATACATGAGATTTATTGATTAGTGATTGTCAAATATCAAAATCATTGTACATTTGTAAGCATAGTGGTTGACCCCTCGGTAATTACATATTCAAATTGATAGAGTGCATAGCGTACTACACACAAAAAGTTTACATTTGAGGACCCTATAAAAATGCCTATATTAGGATTGAGAAACCTGCTAGAAGGACATTTAGACCTTCTAGTAAATAGAGAAAATCTTGAACTTTCAGTGAATTTTTGGATCACAGTCCTATTGCTAACCGGTACCGAGTAATTATTAATCAAAGTCGCGCCATTTTAGTCGTGAAAGTGATACCTATTGGGACGCATGTGGTCGTTCTGGTCACATATTTCGATTTTAATTGGGCCTACTATCTTGGTTTTCGACCAGATTTACAAATTAATAATAACTGAAATAATACTAAGTAAATAGCAAACAAAGCTTTCGTTTCCTCTTAGTTTCAGTTTGATTTTTTTGTTGAATATTTATTTTTCATTTGACTTTGTAAACCAGTGCAGTTTATTTCATTTCTCTTAAGTAGCTACATAATAAACTGATTTTTCCAAAAATATGTCTTTGATTTTTTCATTTAGATTGCTGCATCATTTTACAAAATCTGTTAAAATATAAAATAAGCTTGGGCATTTCAATAACCAAAATTTAGAAAAAAAGATAATTATACATATACTTAATTGGTGGGAAAAATAAAGTAGGTATATTTTAATTAAGTTTCAGTATAATTGGCGGTATTATATGGCCTAGATGTACACTTTTCAATTATAATTACTTCTGGAATCAGCGCGTACTGCCAGCAGGACGTACAGCGTTCTCTCTACAGGACAAATCAATAGGCTGAGTCAAGTCCTGCTCGCAGAATCGGGTCTGGTAAAGTTCAAGGCCCCACGGATTTCGTATTTTTTTTTTTAGTAGGAAGCCTTATTGCTATAGAACAGTTTAATAGTAGATTATACTACGAGTCAATAATGATAGCTATTATTCCCGAGGTATATTTACGAACTAAGCCGCGTTAGCGGCGAGGGAGTAACATTCCGAGGGAATAATAGCCATTATTGCGAGCAGTATACTCTACTTTATTTACGACAAATTAATTTATTTGAAATTTTCTTTCCAAAAACGCTCTTTGTTCATCCATCTCAATACAAATACACAAGCACTACGCGTTTGACACTGACACTGAATTTGTTCTATACTGTTTCCATGGTACTACCTACTTCTTTTATTTGAAAAATTTTGTGATTGGTGTGCAAGCGAGATTAATGACCATTAATCCCTGCGGGAATAATAGATGTCATTAAACTGCCAAAATCACAAATATAATACTTATATTATATGTCAGTCGTAAATAAAAGAAAATAATCGTTGGATGAAGCACTTCCGAAATTAGAAAACGCATGCAAAAGATGTAGAAAACACGCAATTTTCAAAAACATTGGAGTGATAAAATAAAACTCCCCTAAATTAACACACTAACCACAAAGTGTTGCCAAGTTGTTTAAAAACGTATAGTTTTTTGAACAAAAAGAAAAATAAGTGTTCACAAAGTTATAATTCTTTAATGGAACGTCTCCACAAAAGTAAAAAATCGTCAGAATTATAAAGTTTTAAAACAAAAAAAGTATCAACCTGTGTTGTGTAATAAGAGACTATGCTGTACACGTGAAAGTGGATCTTTTTGTAAAGTTTTGAAAAGAAAAACATTAAGTTACAACAATAGTTTGTGTTGCTACGCCAAGAAATTTCAAGGCGCTGTTGCCACCAATGTCGATGAAGAAATCCTGATCTCACAAAAAGATGGAATGTGACTTTTGTCATGAAGTGAAAACCAAGGAAGTTTTTAATTGTGATGAGTGTCACAAAAAAATCTGTAAAGTATGTGGGAAGCTAACATCATCAGAAATAAAAGTTCTACAACTAAGTTCTAGGGTTATTAAGTTTCTCTGTCAAACGTGTCTAGGTTTGGATACATATATACTTTTGAAAAATACTATAGATGATAAACAAACAATAATTGATACTAAAGATGAGATAATAAGACTGTTGAAAAATGATATTAAAGAAGCGAATTATCATGAAGCCGAAGCAAGTTATAGCAAGATAGTGAAAAAAACACCTGCCGTGGAGAAAGTTTTGATAATTAAACCCAAAGATAAGAACCAAACAAGCAAAACAACGAAGCAACAATTGGAAAACGAAATTGAACCTAGCACTTTGGGGGCTGGAATATCTGCAGTAAAATACGCTCGAGACGGTGGAGTTGCAATCAGCTACAATAATAAGGAAACAAAAGGGTCAGTTTGTGCAAATATTAAAGAAAAACTGGGACAAAACTATAATGTCATAGAACCTGAATTGAAAAACCCAAGAATCAAGATTTTTAACATAAACAAAGAAATATCAGCAGATGAAGAAGTATTGATAGAAAAGATTATAAGACAAAATAGAATAACAACGGAAGAGAATGTGCGAATAATTAGACAGATATATAAATATGAGACAAAGAAAGAAGGAAAAACACCTAGAACAAACGTTATTTTCGAATTGGATCATCAGACCTATAAACAAATCAAATTAAGAGGAACAGTTAATATAGGATGGAAAATTTGCTATTTTGTAGATCATATTAATGTTATACAATGCTTCAGATGCTGGAAGTTTGGACATATGGGAAAAGAGTGCAAAAGTGAAAAAGAAGTTTGCCCAAACTGTACAGGAGAACACAAAAGTCATGAATGTAATGCACTGGTGAAAGAATGTGTTAATTGTAAAAATGCAGCCCAAATCGTAGGAGTAGAAACTAGTAACTACCAACATGCAGCATATGATAGAGAATGTGAGTTTTACAAAAGAATTTTTACCCAATTACAGAAGAAACACCACTATCCAGATTTATATAGCAAAAATAATGTATAGCAACGAACAGCGCCTCAAATATTGTATCTAAATATACAAAGTCTTCTTGCACATAAAGTAGAGCTAAATTGGTTGATCAATCAATGGAAACCGGTAATTGTATGCTTATCTGAAAGTCATGTAACAAAAGATATACAAGAAAATGAAAAACTTATAGAAGGATACAGATACTTCAGTGCATATTCTAAAAGTAGGCATACAGGCGGCAGTATGATCTATATAAAAGAGGAAATAAAAACAAAACAAATACTCAGCATTGTTATTGATTCAAATATGTGGGTAATAGGAATAGAGGCAGTAATAGATACTTTCAAATACAATGTTTTATGTGTATATCATTCGCCTAATGCTAGTCACGCAACATTTCTAGAAAATATGGATGAAATTCTACAAAACATGCTGTCCAAGGAAGGGAATTTCATCCTTATTGGAGACTTCAATATAAATATGGCAATTGATACATGTTATTCAAAAGGATTGGAAAACGTGATAACAACCTTGGGAGCTTACCAACATGTCAATAAATTCACAAGAGTCACAAGACAAGGGGGAACAATGATCGATTTGATAGTCACTGATACAAGAAACACCACTTATGATATTCATTTAACACCCAAGATAACAGACCATGCTATTTTGACAGTAGACCTACTAAAAAAACCAAAAGTCAAACTGCACAAAAAGATGATAAGAGATTTCTCAACATTTAATGAAACAGAGTACCAACTGGAACTAATAAACAAAAATTGGGATAACAACTATATAGATATTAACATAGCTTCAGAGAGATTGGTATTGAATATGAGAGAGACATTGAATGCACACGCACCATTAAAAGAAATAACAATATCTGAATCATGGGGAAACAAAAAATGGTGGACAATGGAAATTGGCAAGGAAATTAAAGAACGAGACAGACAATATAGGAGAGCGATAATAACGCAGAATGAAGAGGACTGGAGAAATTTTAGACAAAAAAGAAACCAAGTAGTTGCATTAATAAAAAACAAAAACAACAATATTATTTTGAGAGAATAGATGAAGTGAAAAACGATTCAAAAGAAATGTGGAAGACCCTTAAAGAAATAACATGCCAAAAAACAGGATCCCAAAGTAATAATGGAATTATTTTTGATGAAAAACTGGAAACAAATAATAATTTGATAGTAGAAAAATTCAATGCCTTCTTTATTGAAAGCATTGCTTTATTAACCAAAAATTTAAATTGTAATTATACTACTTACAAAGAAGTTGCTTCTGCTATACAACAAGCAGATAGTTATTTAGGAACATTTAAAAAAGTCGAGTTTATAAAACTAAAGAAAATTGTAAAGGGCATGAAAAATAAAACAAGCAGCGTGGATAGCATAAACACAAGGATTTCAAAATCATCATTTGAAGCCATAGGTCATCATTTTTTACAAGTTATAAACACAAGTATAGAGAATGGAAAATTCCCTAATGGATGGAAAACATCCTCTATTATACCAATAGAAAAAAAAAAGAATTCCAAGTTATGTCAGGACTATCGTCCAATAAACATGGTTCACACCTATGAAAAACTCCTGGAACTTGTTATCAATAGCCAACTTGTAAATTATGTCGAAAACAATAAAATTTTGACATGCTATCAGGCAGGTTTCAGAATAAATAATTCGTGTGAGAGTGCACTACAGACAGTGCTAGCAAAATGGAAGGATTCATTGAAGGACAATTTGGTGATAGGGGCATTATTTCTCGACTTCCGAAGAGCATTTGAGACAATTGATAGACAGCTGTTAATCATCAAACTGGACAAGTACGGCATTCAAAATAAAGCGCTTCAATGGATAGAAAGTTATTTGTTTGGAAGAAGTCAAAAAACCAGACTTGGCGAGAGTGAGTCTTCTTCGAGAAATACCTTCTGCGGTGTGCCTCAGGGAACAGTGATGGGACCAAATTTATTTGTGATGTATATAAATGATATTGTAAACTGTATAAAGGACTGTCAGATACAACTATTTGCAGATGACACGTTGTTATATTGTGCTGGTAACAATATAAACACTGTGGTGAACACCCTAAATAAAGAAATGGAGAACTTAGCTATATGGTTAAATAAGAACAATCTAAGCCTTAATATTGAAAAGACCAAATTGATGTTGATTAGAACTAGGACGAACACAATAGATGTGACACAACATCCAGGCATGACAGTAAATGGGATTGAAATTGAACGAGTAAAGGAGTTTAAATATCTTGGTGTTATTATAGATGAACATTTAACATTTTCGAAACACTCATCCTATATAACTAGCAAAATTGCTAGTAGGGTAAACGCCTTGGGCAGAATGAGAAAAACATTGAGTGAATGGTCCAAACTTCTAGTATACAAGACTTTAATTATGCCATATTATAATTACTGCCCAACAATATTGTTTCTCCTAAACAACACTGAAATCAATACAATGCAAAAAAGACAAAATCAAGCTCTTCGTATTATTTCGGACACAAATACATATGCAAACATAAAAACAATGTTGGATACTGTTGGTATTTTAAGTGTTCGGCAGTCAATAAATTATAATACATTGGTATTTATTTACAAAATGGTTCATGGACTGGTGCCTAGTCATTTGCTTGACAACTGCGTTAATGTACAGGATATACATAATCATTTCACAAGATCGACAAAAAATTTTTATGTTAGAACTGTGCATAGAACATTCGACCAGAAGAACTTGTTCCATAAAGGACTGATACTATACAATGATCTACCAAACCACGTTAAGAACTGTGAAAGTCTAAATTCATTTAAAAGGGACTGCTTTAGATATGTGAAAGAGAATATTGCACTATAATAAAAATTTTGTACTGTAACTCTAAATCGAGCTCTAAATATTATACATGTTAGCTTCAAGTTATTAATAAATATTATTATTATTATTATTAAAATATAATTTATTTCAAAAACAGTGAAAGTAACAAAAAAATCACTAAAACGTATTAATTAAAATTTCCTGAGGAAAAAATTTTCCGGAAAAATGTATGATGTTAATATTGAATTTCGAAAAACAACAGCGCGCTTCGCGCGCTTTGTTGTCAACCACCTATAACCAGTCTTGAATGAATTATAATGGAACTAACCAGAAATATGCAAACTAGCCCAAACTAACCCGTCCACGTAATGCATACTATAATAGCATTGTGTACTAGTCCTTGTATGTTAATATTGAATTTAGAAAAACAACAGTTTTTTATCAGTTTTGTGGATAACAAATATGTTTTAGAAAATATTGGTGCCTTAATTCGGTTAATGAGAGTCTTGGAAGTAAAAAAGTGTTAAAATATTATGTTTTTATGAATTACTGTCAGTAATAAAAAATGAATTGAAGCCAATAATAATATACATTTTGTGGACTAAGTTGGTGATTTTTTTGAGGAAAATCTGTGCGATCCAACGATTTTTTTGTTTTAATCTGCTCTATTTGATGTAAGCTTTCAAACAAATCAAATAAGAACGCAAAATTCTTGGGGCCGTGAGGTTTACTAGCAATTTTTCCAATTACATTCCAACATTTGTACGTCTAGGTAATTGGCAAATAACCTACCCTTGAGAAATATCAGAAAAATAAAGAGCATTGAAAATTCTCTTACCAAAATCGCAGCAATAAAACTCCACAAGTGGGGCCTCAAATACGTCCAAAGTCTGCGCCAATCGAATTTTAAATTTTTACTAGAACTGCTATTTCTATATCCTGCCAATCTGGTACCATCGCAAACTGCTACATTTTTGTTAAATATTTTATTTCCTAGAACAAGACTACATCCTCCAATAAATATTCCTACTTTAGGAAGTAATTTTGGCTGTTTATTTGGACGATTTTTCAATAATTTGGGTACCTTACAGTAGTTGATGTTTCTCGGTGATGCATTTTGAGTTCTGCATACATTTCTTTAAAAAATATTGAATGAATTTACTCATAAACATTTATGGATAATTGAAAATTACCTAAAGAAACAATTAATCGACCTAGGATGATCTAAAACTAGCTTCCACAACATTATTTATTGAAAAATAAACATAATAAATTTTTAAATTTTTGAATCAAAAGGTAAACAAACAAGTTAGGTTAGGTTGTTAGACGTGAAATGACATGATTTATGGTTATGACAGACATCGTGAGACTTTTTTTTAATCTCGCCGAGTCCGCTGATCCCAAGGATAATACACACTACACACTACTAAGCATTGCTTATCGGCCTCGTTTTTGGTAATCGCCGTCATATTGGTGTATTACCATTGCCGACGTCACGAACTAAATCGTCAACGACGTCAGCTATTTGCACCAGCGATCGTAATTTAGAATTTAAATTTATGATGGAAAATATTATTTAATTTTGATTAACCAGTGATGCAAACATTCTACATCAAGGCGAGAAAAGACATGCTGCCTACGTCACAACTGGTGATTTAGCGTAGTGGGGGGCTTCACAGTATTTGTTCTACACAGGCCTTATGACGATAAGCTATCCTGTAGTAGCGTGTGTGTGTATTATCCTTGGTCTGATCCAACGTTTGAAAAAAAAAACGAAAAAACGCCAGAAGTTGCCTGAAGCAAGAAAGCAAGGAGGAACAAGAAACCTAAAGAAGCGAAATCAAAATTGCTAGTATAAATAATAAAGTCCTTTTAAAAAGAAAAAATAAATAAATTTAAACACAAAAAAAACTCCCTTTTTACCACTTTGCACCACTGGTTTCTTAAAAAGTGGAAAAGGTTCCTAGAGAAAAAAAAACTGGGAAAGAGCAAAGGCATTTTCTCATGCCTAATTCAAATTTGAAATCATCTGAAACCCCTTAAATAAAATTAAAGAAAATACCAAGTAAATCAGAAAAACTACCTACATTTAATTAATAATTATATACAAAAAATTGCTATCTTTTCGAAAGAAACATTTAAATTGTAAACCAGCCGGGCATTCCGGGTCGTCCTTTATTTTTTTCCAAGTAGTCTTTGTATCCTTGTTTGGTCTGCTCCAAAGATTTTTCATAATCTTCTTTATCCTTGTTTTCATCAGGGTATAAGTCTGGAAATTGGAATTCTTCTCCTTTTGGCTGTAAAAAAAAACTAAGTTAAAAACAATGCGCTAAGTATCTAACAAAGAAAAGTTCAAAAGCTCATCATACTAAATTTTACAAGTGATCAAGGAAAAAACCAAAAACCATTACCTACATAAGAAATTCTTGAATGTGATGTGTTCCTGGAAAACAAGTACCTACTTAAATGGAAATTGTAATAAAAAGGGGAAGGTTAGAAGCTGTTCAAACTGAAATTTTAATTTGATTCAATAGAAAACAATAACGGAGGATTTGTAGAAAATCTACCTGCAAAAACAATTTTTTTTTTTGAAAATGCAAACTCTAATATCTTGATTTTTGCCAGGAAAACAAGTAAGAGGAGAGTTTTAAAACTTTTAAAATGAAAACAGAAAACAGGAAATTTCCAGCTCATCATACTGAAGTTTGAAATTAATCCAGTAAAAATTCATAACACAAGAAATTCTTGAAAATTTACCTTCAATAATTACATTTTAGATAAATGCGAGCTCTAACATTTTGATGTTTTTCTGGAAAATGAGTATCTGAGGGGACAATTCAAAAACTTTTGGAATGAGAAGAGGAAGATAAATTGCATATCATACTGAAATTTGAAATTAATCCAGTGAAAAATCATAACATAACAGAATTTAGAAAATCAACCCTCAAAAACTAAATTTAAAAAAAATGCAACATCTGTAGGTACTTATGACATTTTGGATATATTTCTGGGAAACAACCAATGACATCTTAACTAAAGATGAAACGGATAGTTGTTTGGCTGGATATCAGACTCAACTTCTTGATGTAAGAAACCAAGTAAAATCGCTTGTTGCCTGCAAACTCTGAAAATTTGGTGTTTATTCACCATAATTTACCACTTGTTAATTTTAAGTATATATTAAGAATTAAGGTGATTTTAGTTTTTTAGCGGGTACTGTTTTGTCGTTTGTGCCTTTTTGCTTTTTGTATCTTGTCCAGCTTCAAATAAAAGCAGTTATAATAATAATATAAGCCATTTTGTTATTATTTACCATTACCACACAAATATTTATGTATTTGTATAATGTATGTAAAAGTTGATTTTAAAGCATTGTGTTGCAGTTTCTGAATATCGGGTATCCAGCCGGATATTAAAGCTACTGTCCGGCATTCGGCCGAATAGGTATTTTTAGGCAAGATACCGGATAGTTTCTGGATATCCGTTTCATCTCCAATCTTAACACATTAAGACACCGCATCTCATTCATGAACTGATGTTATAACGAATAGGGGGGACCAGGAGAGGTGAGTTGCTCGAGGGGGGTCATGGTGAGGATGCAACAGACTCAACAGGAGTGTAATATCAAATCAATCCGTAACAATTTGGCAACCTAATGAGGGGATACCCAGAAGTGGATCGATCTCCTAAATGTTGGCAACCCAAAATTTTGATAAACCTTTGCATTTGGAGTATTTGCAAAATAAAATAGTAGGTAATTGACCTGTCTCGCATAAGTAGAAAAAGATAGCTTAATTGTAATGAGTACAAGTTGGAAAGTAATAAAAGATGACATGCGCGCGCATCTAGTGGGTTGCAGTGTAGCCAGTTTGTATTGTTGCAGAACAAATGTAGACAATACAAATACAAATCGACCATTATACGAATAGGTGTATTCTTTCGATCTGAACAAAATGATCAAAATCACTTGAGGTTTATTCCAAACAATTTTCATCCGGTTTTAAAACGATATTTCATTGGTTCCAGCTGTTTTTTTGAGGCCTCATGAACAAGCCTCATGTGGTCACAATCAGTTTGTTCAAATCGAAAGAATACCAGGAATAAAAAAGTGATTTTTTACAATGTGTTTTTATTAAGCTTCAAAACAGACAAAAGAAGAGCTTTAAAGTGTATGTTAACATCTTTTGCATTTTTATTTTGATACATTTTTCATCCGGCAACATCGCACAATGAAAGTACAAAGAAATATGTCAAGCATAATCTAACATAATTTTAAACAACACTGCCGTGAGTTCAGTAGTAATACGTGAAGTATTAGTTTGCTCTTTGTCAAATTACCTACTCATCACAAAGAAAGAAGGAACGATTAATTCTGAACTGGCCCCTAAGTAAGAATATGACGCAAGCCGGTAACAAACTCGTTTCTCATTGGTCGCTCACTTGCAACCCACGAGTTGCGCGCGCAGTCAAGGTAAAAAGAGAAAGGTATATTGGTAATTCTAAAATTTGCACCATACCCACTGCCGGTAAAAAAAGGATTTATATGTAGGACCGACGAGTCCAACGACTATCCAAACCAAGATTGTTTGAGAGAGGTAGGTTCATAGGCTGCTTGATAACTTTTATGACCTCATCTGGTGGTCTTAACATAATGGGTCTATTCGCAAGTCAGAAACCAGTCAAAGTGAATTTTATTCGTTGAAACTAGTTTTCTGACTGTTTCTCAGCCAATTCGCTCCTCCGACTAGTTTGTAATTACTGTGCGAATAGACCAAATGCAAATGTCCATAAGACACCCCAGATGACGTCATTAAGTTACAAGTTACCCATTACCAGACAGCCAATTAATTTTAGGAACAGGAACCTTGCTTCAAAACCAAGTTCTTCTTCAAGGATATACAAAGAAAAGATGATACGTCAACAGCGAATTTATTACGTTAACTAAAATAATGTTATTTTTCAAAATTTTACGTTTCAACTATAAATAATGTTTTTCCATTTAGCAATCTTTTCGATAATTTCCCAGCTAAATTGCCTTCAAATTTAAATAAATATCAATTGTTAAAATCGGGACGGTAGATAGGTACATACATATTACAAATTGTGTATTTAAAAAAATCAGATTTTAGATTTTATCCCGTTGACTGTGGAGAGGAGAGTTCAAATAATTTCAAGGTTATTTGAGAGAGGTATGTTGCCTGATAACTTTATGACGTCATCTGGGGTGCCTCAGCATAATGCATGTCTCCATAAGGCACCCCAGATGCGTCATCAAGTTACCCATTACCAGACAACCTATCAACTTTAGGAACCTTGAAATAATTTAGGAATTAATGATAATGAACCAAGGACTCGACCAAGGATATTACAAGACAAGAGAAAAAGATGGTCTATTTTAAGATATCTGTCATATTATGTCCGAGTGACGTCATTTGGACAAAAGTCGACCATTCTTTCTTCTTTTTTGGTGATATGTTTGTTTTCTGCAGAGTCAGTTATTCTAGTTCTCAGCAGGTTTGTTACAGGCTTACGTTATATTCTTATTTAGGGGCCAGTTCAGAACGAATCGTTCCTTCTTTCTTTGTAACGTGTAATTCGACAAAGAGCAAACTAATACTTTACACATTACTTGAACTCACCGCAGTGTCGTTTAAGGTTATGTTCGATTATACTTGACATATTCCTTTGCAATTTCATTGTACGATGTTACCGGATGAAACATTTATCAAAATAAAAGTGCAAACGATGTTAACATACACTTTTCAAGCGCTTCTTTTGTCTGATTTGAGGCGTTGTAAACCACTTGACACTATATCACTTCTTTAATGTTATAATGTTCGATTTGTATTGTCTACATTAAATAAATACAATCTGGCTACACTGCATCTACGAGTTGCGCGCGCATGTCATCTTTTATTACTTTCTAACTTGTATTTATTACAATTAAGCTATCTTTTTCTATTTATGCGAGTCAGGTCTACTTTTAATGATTGAGAGAGACATAACAATATTATTATATAATCTTGGAACATTCTCGAGTATTTCACAAATGACATGGTAAAATATTTGACGGTTTTATTTGCAATCTTTTTTATCAGCATGTGACAGAAAAGAATAGTAAAACATTTTGACGTCACCCAAACAAAATTCTTCTTTTTTGGTAATATAATATCTTTGTTTTCTGCAATCTCAATTATTTTATTTGTCTCAGTCTCAGTTATATAATTTCTAATTAGTGAGACAGAGATAACAGTATATTATCATCTTGGAACATTCTCAAGTATTCCACAAATGACATGGTAAAATACAAAAATATTTGACGGTTTTATTTGCAGTCTTTTCTATCAGCATGTGACAGAAAAGGATAGTAACACATTTTGACACAATTCGAATTGAAATCACCCTTAAAATTTTCATTGCCAATTTCAAGAAGGATTTTTCAAGTGATAATTTCTAAGCACGATTCGCGGTTTTTTTACACACACCTTTATTAGAAATTAGTAATTAATGATTGAAAAATGGACAAGGGTTCTAATTTTGATGCCAAGGTAAGTCCTATAATCTCTATTCTCTATAATGAACATAAATTATGATTGTTAATTTTTTTAAATGGTAATTTTCTCGGTAATTTTGGTTTTCATCTTCTTTCTATTTTTCTTAATAATTTTAATGTTAGAGTAAAAATCAAACGAGAAGAAGCAATTGACGTCAGCGCTGACAAAGAACGCAGATTTCCGTTTCTCTGGGTCCCTCCCATTTAATGTGAGACAAACGATAACACGTGTGGCCTCTTCTCGATTTTTACTCTACCCAATTATCCTATGTGAGTTGTATTTTATTCGCTCTATCTCATTAATTTGTGATAAAATATATATCCATATTCTATAAATTATATTTGTTGAAGAAAAAGAAAATGAATACCTAATTACTGAAATTATTAATTTCTCTCATACAAATATTCTTGAACAAATTCATTTAATTTTGGGTAGCCACCTTTAGTAGCAGGATGCTGCGTACCAGTTCGCAAAGGACTCTCAAATTTCGGTAAGAGACGCATTTTCGGCACTTGAACGGTTTTAAAAAAATTCCAAAATTTTAGAACCAGCCAAAATTATAAGCACAAAAATCGTAGATGGCACAAAATGGTACTATGTTCATTTTGAAGGCTGTAAGTATAAAAGTCTTAGCTCATTCTCGGAAATAAAATTGACAATTTTGTAGTCAACAAAAGGTTAGACGAGTGGATAACGGAAGAGTCAATGGACTTGGAAAAAGTCAGCTTTATTGGAAAGAAAAAGCCAACTGGCAGTAGTCCTGCTGAACCTGAAAAAACTAAAAGTACGTCAGTTGACCATGAATCAATGAAAAATGTTCAAATGATCGAACTGGGACGTTACAGAATCAAGCCTTGGTATTTTTCACCGTATCCCAAAGAACTGGTTCAATTTCCTTGCATATATATTTGCGAATATTGTTTGGCATATAAACGAAGCAAAGTATGTTTGCAAAGGCACCTTCAGAAATGTCTTCTGCCTCATCCGCCCGGTAATGAAATTTACAGAAAAGATAACATTTCGTTTTTCGAAATAGATGGACAAATGAATAAGCAATATTCTGAAAATCTATGCTTATTAGCCAAACTATTTTTGGATCATAAATTAACATATTACGATACCCAGCCGTTTCTGTTTTACATATTGACTGTACATGATCATGCAGGATATCACATTGTTGGCTACTTTTCCAAGGGAAAAGAATCTACCGAAGGTTATAATCTTGCCTGTATCTTAACTCTACCTTCATATCAGAAGCAAGGCTATGGCAAATTGCTCATAGAGTTTAGTTATGAATTGTCGAAAATTGAAGGCAAAACTGGTTCTCCTGAAAAACCACTATCAGATCTTGGTATGTTATCTTATAAAAGCTACTGGGAAGAAACCATACTAGAAGCTATAAGGTCAATCATGGAAGAACCAAATCCGCAATTATCAATCGATCAAATCTGTACAATGACTGCTATTACGCGACAGGACGTTATTTGCACAATGCGAAACTTGGAATTGATTTTTTACTACAAAAACCAAAATGTTATAATATTGAATGAACAAATTATTGAGCGACTTGATGTAATGAAGAAAAACAATAGAATACGTATTGACCCATCTGCGATACGTTGGACACCGAGAAAATGGGGAAAATTCAAATAAATATAAGATTTTAGTATTAATTATTGCACAATAAAGTAGGTACTTACCAATGTGACGTAAGCATACTTAGCATCATCTTCTTTAATAACGTACCCATTCCCTGGATCTTTCCTTGTCTTTCCCAAAGCAATCCTGGTTCTAATATCCACAGTTTTTACATTGTAAATCTTCTCCAGATAATTTTTAATGTCGAATTGAGTCATTTGCATTGAACAAGAAAACTGAACGATGTTTTTCGGTTGTTTCTCTGTAGTTCGTATCAGTTTCATCCAGAAGTTTGGGAGGAATACGCGAAGTTGGGGGCCGGTTTTCTGATAAATCGGATACCTGCAACAATTTTCCTGATGATACTTATTGATTAGCTTTGAATTAAATTAGAAGTATCAGATCATTGAATAAGTATGATGTATCTATTATTGTAAATTTTGGTATGAGTAGCTCCTATAATCTTTCTTTTTTCATTTTAAAAGTTTCAAAATGTTCCCCTTGATGGTGATGGTTTTTCAGAAAAACATGTTGGAGGTTGCATTTTTTAAAAAATTAGTTTATGAAGATTTGCTAGAATTTCAAATGTTACGGTTTTTCAATAGATCAATTTCAAATTTTAGTATAATGAATTCTTGATAGATAGATAGATAGATTTTTATTACCGAACAATGGTCATTCACAAAAGATACCTAGCCTAGGTTAAAGTAACAATGGTTAAAAAAATTTAGTTTAAATACATTTATAAAAGATAAAAATATCACATTATGCAAACAATAGCAGACTACACAACTAAAATCACAAGATAAAAGTCACAGAGACAACATAAATTATTATATTACGTTTAAGTGTATTATAACTCATAGAGAATAAATCTATATTATCAGGTAATTTGTTGGTATTTCTGGCCATTCTACTTAAAGGCGAAGAGTAGCCATAATTAGTGCTACGAAAATTAATAGAGAAAAGGTTGTTATTTCTCAATCTTCTAGTTGTATTGAAACAGAAAGAAGAAAATAGTTCTGCACAATCTATTTCACCATTTAAAAGCTTAAATAGAAAACATAAGTCAAAATTTTCTCTCCTTTTTTTGTAGAGATGTGATGTTTCACAACTCGTAATTTATTTCATTTTCATAAGCTTGATATTAGGGAGCCCAAACAACGCAGGCATACTCCAATACAGATCGTACTACTGAACAGTACACATTTTTAATTTTATTAAGGTTGTTAAAAATTTTCAACGTTCGGAAAATGAAACCAAGGAGTTTAAGTGCTCTGTTCGCCGTAGTATTTACATGGTGGTCAAAATTCAGCTCGGTATCAAACCATACTCCAAGGTCTTTAATATGGGTTTCTCTTGTTAACTGACAATTATTTATTTTGTAGTTGAAATGTATAGGTTTTTTAATTCTAGAAAAAGTTACAATTTTGCATTTATCTGTATTCAAAGCCAATTTATTTTCATGACACCACTAAGCTAGCTTGTCAGGGACTCTTTGAAAATCCAGACAGTCCTGTTAACATTTATTTTTTTTTGTAAAATTTGCCGTCATCAGCATAGGTAAGAGAAAGTGAAGCTTCAAGGGAGTTGCAAATATCATTAATAAAGATTTTGAAGAATAATGTAGACAAATGTCCACCCTGTGGGACACCTGAGTTCTCTCAATTCAATTCTCTCAATCTCGGACGAAACATGATTACCAATTTTTACAGCTTGTTTTCTTCTAAAAAGATAACTTTCTGTCCACTCAAGGAAAATGGAATGGACAGCAACGGCCCGAAATTTAGAAAGCAGGATTCCATGATCCATCCTGTCAAAATCCTTGGAGAAGTCTGTGTAGACAGCATCCATTTATTCACGACTCTCCAAGGCTTCCAACAGGTGTTTCTCTCATAAGTAAGGAGATTAATGACTGTGGACCTAGCCTTTATAAATCCATGTTGATGGGAAGAAATTAGATTTTTGAACAATAGTGAGATCTTATCAGCAGTAATGCACTCAAACACCTTAGAAATGGTTGATATTTTGCATATTGCCCGGTAGTTCTCCACACTAGACCGGTCTCCACTCTTGAAAATGGTGTATATATGGCTGCATTGGCTGCACTTCAAAAAATCTGGAAAAATTCCACTTGTTAGTGATTCATTGTAAATTCTACATAAAGGTACGGTTTGTTCAAGGATTATACACACTATTACTACAGGATGACCTATCCTCATATCCGCAGACCCAAGCAGCTCAGCGGTTGTGTTTTCGCTTTGCATGCAGTGGGTCTCGGGTTCGAATCCCGGCTAGGTGCATGGATGTTTGTTTGTTTGTTTGATTTGGTTTGTGTGTGATGTTGGAGGCTTTGTCGACAAACCACAGTGGTGGTTTCTGACAAGAAAGCAGAAAAAAAAAAAAAAAAAAAAATAAGTCCTGTGCGCGCGTGGCAAATTCTCGTGTGAGGCGCAGCCGAGCACGGGAAGTCATGCAAGAACGGAAAAATCCATTTCTGGACGTGTAATGAACGATATTTTTTTAAATACTTTATCTGAAAACGATAAAAACAGAAAATTCCCATTTTTTTACAATGGCATGAATTACAGAAAATGAAATATCAAAAATAGGTCCAGTCGTGGGCATTGAAAGTGGGACACCCGACTGACAGGTCTTGTCACCTTGTCATTTTTTGCTTTTTTGGGTAAATCAGTCATTTCTCTACAATGGATTTTCTGCCAAATATGACAATCCCCGTCATTGTAGTACATAAAGTCTGTTTGTGCAGAAATCACAAACCATGCACAAACCAGTCGGAGCGAGTTTCATTGATTGAGAACAGTCAGAAAACTAATTTCAACTAATGAAATTGACTCTGACTGGTTGGTGATTTCTGCAGAAACAGACCAATTGTATAGCTGGTGAGTTCGTTTACAATAGGAAAAATCGGGTGTCCCACTTTCAATGCTCACGACTGTAATAGGTAAATGATGCTTGTCACAGAAACTTAAATCGTTTTTCATTTTTCGGGGTGCATTTATAATATATCTTTGTTTAATTTCTAATGAATGACAAGGATGCAACATTGACTGACACGTCTTATCTGGTTAGCGCACGGAAACAGAGATCGGGAAAAAATTTCCGTGCGCTGTTCTGGAAATTTCACCTTTACGTAAAGACAGGTGAAAAAGAGGTGTTTTCAGGTAAGTATAATAAAATAGCTATTTTCCTAACGAGTGCGGAAATTTCTTCCCGCAAGAGTTAGGAACTATATTTTTTCTACGAGCATACTAAAGCTGATGTTACGAAGAGTTTAATTTAAATAAAATGCAATTATGCAGAAGGTAGAAATAAAAATGTATTAAAAGGTATTTATAAAAAGGTAAAGGTACAGGTATAGGTGTATCAACAATACAAACAATTCCATGTCACAATGATTATTTCAAACTCTTCCCGCAGTGAGTGCGGGAAGAAATCTCTTCCCGCACCGGTGCGGGAAGAAAGTCTTCCCACACAGCAAATCGTGCGGGAAGAGCCATTTCCCGCACGCTCCTAGAAAAAATAGTTTTTAAAATAGCTCAACAGTCTGTCCCAATTTAATTGATGTAGTATTTTGGAAGTGCCTTTCAGAGGGATATTCCATATTTCTTTTCTTGGAATTAACAAATTTCTAGTAATCATGCTTATTTATCAAGGTATTTTCTAGACTGACGATATAATCAGATCTTTGATCTTGATCTTTTTCTTTTCATTTCAAAATTTTTCCCCTACTTCTTTTCTTATGTTATGGTTTCCATGAGCTTCCTACCTTCTTTTTTTTACTCTCCAAGTTTCAAAATTTTCCCCTCAGTAATGACATTAAATAACCTAAATTGTAAACAAACACCAGCTGGTAATCCAGCCTTCCTATTGGTTGAAACCGACGGGTAAGTCACCCTTTAAATTGTGTACAATAAATCACCACTTTCTTCAAAAAATACCAATAATTACCAAAAAACATTACCAAAAATACTAATAAATACCAAAAAAGGTCCAATAATTACCAGAAAAATACATACCAGTAGTTGCCAAATAATACCAAAAAATACCAATAATTACCAGAAAAATACCAATAATTACCAAAAAGCTAAGGATCCATGAATTTAGGAAACTTCTGCTGTTGCATACTCCTCGGCATACTCTAATGGCCGTTTCCACTAACTATTTTAGGGGAGCCTTAACGATAAGTATTCCCTGAACTGACATTTCTCCATGTAAAAATGTCATTTTAGGAAATACTTAATGTTAGGGCGCCCCTAAAATGGTTGGTGGAAACGGCCATAAGTGTGGTCTAACAATTGCATTATAGAGTTAAGCTGAATCCACGACAGAGCACAACATAAAAATACATAGTAATAACTACTGGATTAATGCAAAATTTATGGAAAAAATCAAACAAAGATATAATCTCTATAAAAGATGGAAGTTGGTAACAAATTTAGAAACTGTAAAACTTTTGAAAAAATTAAAGAATGAGGCGAACAACTTATGGACAAAATTAAAGAAGGACTATGTTGAAAAACAAAAAATTAATGAGACTGGAACGAATTCAAAAAAAATGAGGAACATACTAAACAATCTTTGCTCGAGAAAAACAAAAGGTTGGTTCAAAAATAACTCGAATAAAGGATATGACAGGAGAGACTCTCAGAAATGAACAAAAAATAGCAGAAGAATTCAACACATACCCTCGCACATACCTTTCGAAAGTTGGATAAAACCTAGCTTTGAACATAAATCTCATTACAAACCAAAAGTTTAAAGAAGACTGCAATGAGTCAATCTATCTTGAACCAACGTATATAATAGAAATATTCATGTAATACCATAAATGATCTCAAAACACAACAGCTCACCAGGGGAAGATAACATAACAAAAACCGACATAGTACTGCTTTTTGACATGATTGGAGAAAAAATTGTGATTGTGAATATTGTTAATAATATCTTAGAAAGTGAATTGTTCTCTGAGGAGCTAAAATGCGCAAAAATAACACCTGTACACAAAAAAGATTCATCACGCAAATTAAATAACTAGCCAATATCAGCGCTGTACACATTTTCTAAAATAACAGAAAAAATCATAAAAAAAAGAATGATTAATTTTATTGAGAAAAAATTTAAGTTTGACACCCATCAGTATGGATTCCAAAAAAAAAGTATCACTTTAGGAGCCTCGGCAGATCTACTGGAGTATGTATCAGAAGAACTTGACAAAAATAAATATGTTTATGTCCGATTGACCAATAAAGTGCTATTTATAGAACAGTTTTGCGTCAATAAAGTAGCACTTTATTGTACTAGTAAAATAAAGTGCTACTTTATTTTATTAGTAAAA